TCCATCTCTATGGTTTTTACTGTGACACGTGAGTGGAGTGTCATGCTAGAGTCACTTGTGCCAGTTTCTCTAACTTAACCTCCACTTTCTAGACTGTTCCACTTCAGAGGATTGTAGTTCCTGAGGTTCATTCAGCACCTTCACCCACTTTTTCTGATGGACATATGTCATGTCTCCCAGGCTGGCAACTATGGTTGTAATTAAATTTCTGGGTTTTTTTTAGAGTTTTATGTGTAAATTAAAAACATTTCATCATATAAAATGTTTAATATCTTCTATTGCTTATTAACAAGAAGTAAAATTATAAGCTTTCTATAGGTCTTTTCCTTGGGATTAAAGCTCCTGATGATGGTGTGCTACTTGACCTTTTTAGACTCATCTCCAACTATGTATTTTGCCTCAAGTGTTTACATAGTCTTTGGATATTTTGTTCTCTTACACCTGTTAGTTCAGTGATTCTAAAAGTATCGCCCCTGAGCCAACAGCAGCAGCAGCTTCCGGGACCAGTTAGAAGTGTGGATTCTTGTTTCCCATCTCAGACCCACGGAAGCAGAAACTCAGGGAGGTGGTGCAGCAGTCTGTTTTACAGGCCCTCCCTCCCGGTGATCCTGATGCACACAGTGATTGAGAACATTGTCTTGATTCCATCTGCCTATGCCTCTGTCCTCCTTTCTCACCTGACTTCTAATTATCTGTGTCTTCCTGGCAGACTTGCCCTCTCTTCCTTGTGCCATGGTACTTTACCAAATCACTTTTATATCATTTATATTGTCTGCATGTGTCTTTTAAGGTGGAGGCTATAGCATAAAGTGGAGCCCATAACATAAAACAGGTTTTCATCTACATACAATACCTACTGCACTAATAATAAGTGCATGGTGAATAAATACATGCACACATGAATGAAAGAGGAGAACATTTTAGGAGGAGTGGTAATCAATAAGGTCAGCTACTGCAGAGAGATCACAGAGAATAATGAAAGAAAAGGGCTATTGTGTTTCACAGTAAGTCAGGTGTTGGTGACCTTTGAAATGCTTGCTTCAGCAGAGTGATGGGCAAGAAGCCCAGATTCCTGGGAGTGAGGGACTCCAACATAATGAAGACTTGAAATTTTTGTATTGATTGTTTATCTGAACATGTGTTGGAAACAGAATTGAAATTCTAAGTAACCTTAGGCTGATTACCTGAGCCCCGTTGAGGCTGTGATCTCGGAATGTGTGTGTTTTTAATTAAAAGGTACATAATTGGGAGCCCCTAAAATAGTACCTAACATAAAATTGGTGCTTAAATAGTCATTTCCTATAGCTACCCCCAGTCACCATTATTTTTCATTATTGCTGTTGAAGACGTTGTTCTTTGTAAATTTAAGATAAGAAATTGTTAGGATACTCCTCATTCCAGTCATTGCAGAAATTATGAACTGCATTTGGCCTAGAACATACCTTTTGTTGAAAAATTGACAACAACTTTGAAATTACATGGTATCTAGCTGGAGAATTGGCCCAAAAGGTAGCTGTATTAGTTGGGACTTTCTTAGTTTCAAGTTACAGGATGCTGCTTCAAGGAGTGGGGGGCAGGGT